CCACAGCTCAGACAGCCGGAGCGGCTGTGTCGTGTCCATCCCATTGAAGCTGGCCTCAGTGGTGGGATGGCTAGCCCCCCTCCCCTGTCCAGGCCTAGCCGGCTAGACCACAGGCAGGAGACGAAGTGATGAGTGTGGGGCCAGTGGGGGACGGGGGGCCCTGACACCAGCCCTGCAGGGAGGGTGCGCCGCCCAGGACAGGCAGGAAGCCACAGGATTCCCAGGGACCTTGTCAGGAGGGCGAGGTGGGTGGCCGCAGTCTGCTGTCCAGGAGACCACAGCCTGGCATTCAGAGAGCCATTCTGTGTGTCCCTGGCCGTGCACCATCTTCCAGGGAGAGGCCCCACAGTGGCAGCTCAGGGTGGTGGCTGTAGGTGACCAGCTTAATCTGAGGACAATCTTCCAGGACTGCCTGTAGGGTAAGGGCCAGAGGCCTGGCCCCTCGCCACCCAGCTACCCCTCAGCAGATCCCCCACTGCTGTGTCCCTCCTCTCATCCCATGTGGTTCCGGGTTGGGGGTGCCCCTGATGAAGACCACCCTGGTGGACATCCTGGAATAGCCTGCTGCTTGGGCCAGGGCCAGGCCATCTTGGCCTCCACTCTGTCATGGACAACAGCCCCTTTCATGTCAGCCCTGAGGGAGCCAAGTGGAATAATTCCACCCCTGACCCAGCTCCCCTTCCTGTCCCCCGCCCTGTGCCACGAGAGGGTTTCCTGCCCTGTCGGTCACCCCGGGAGAGCTGGAGGGGCATCAGGCCAGGGCTGGGTGGGCATCAGTGAGACCTCCACCTGAGGCAGGGCTCTGGGGCCTACTCAGGCTAGCACTGAGGGCTGTGGTGAGGAGACCCTAGGCCTGGGCGGCTGGACAGCAATGGGGAAAGCATGTGGGAGCCGCTAGGCTGCTATCATGGCCAAGATCTGGTCTCTGCCACCTCCAGCCAGGACTGAGCTGATAATATCCGCTCTGGGCCTGCCAGTACTCACATCTACTCACCTGGGGCTTGGAACACCATGGGGCCTACAAGAAGTGAGCTTGCCCTGGGGTGAGGGGACAGTGCACTGGTCCTTGCACTGGTGCGTGAGTGTGTGCGTGAGCGACTGGCTCTCAGAAGGTCCCTTCGTCTCCCCCTTCCTCTTCCTGCAGCGCCTCAATGAGCAAAGGGGGGTGGGACAGAAGGGGGGACGAGAAACGGAAAGAAGTCATTCTGCCAGCCAGGCCGCAGCCCACAGTCCCCCCCAGTGCTCATGCATACATCCTACCAAAGTTAGGGGACTGCAAGTGCTGCCGCCTCCAGGAACCTTTGGAATGTTCTTTCGTGACTCTGTGTCCATTTTGTAAGCTTGCACCTCGTGGGAGAAAGTGGAGTCGCTGCCCGGCACAGGCCGGAGGACAGTGGGGGCACAGCAGGCTGGGGCCTGGTGACATGCAGGCCTTGGGGCAACCAGCTGGCTTGTGCCACTGTCCCCAAGGTCATAGGCACATGTGTGCATGAGCACATACACACACGTATGCGGGCTCCCTCACCCCCCTCCTCCCTGAAACCCGCAGCTCCGCCTGCCTCTGCCCCATCAGAGTCGACTTTCCCATCTTGCCTTCTGCTGCTGCTGTTTCCTGCATGGCCTCTTTCTCGTGTGTCTCCCGGGGCATCTGGTAGGAGAGGCAGAGCCACTGAGGCCCAGCTCAGGCTTCCGCCTCTGCCCTTGATGCAGGTGCAGGCGGCACCCCCCCACCCCCTGCCTTTGCTGCTGGCTCACGGGCATCTGGGACGCTGGAGGTTCTGTGGGACACGGCTCATGGTGCTTTGCAGTGGCTCAGGGAAGCTGCCCTGCCTGTCCCAGCACAGCAGAGACCTGGCTGACACTCGTGACTGGGCTCAGAAGCTCTCCCTAGTGGGAGAGCAGGGTCTGGTCCTTGAGTGTCTCACAGCCTCAGCTCAATAGCCCCCCCTCCCCACCGCCCTGTTGTTTTGCAATTGGATGATGTCTGTGGGTGCTCAGACATGCTTGGATAGTGGGGTCTCCCTCGGTATGTCTGGGGTGTGTAGGTCAGGGACCACGAGGGTCTTCGATCAGCTCCTGGTTTACCTCATTTGACAAAGGGCCACCGAGCACAGGCAGTCACGAGGGGCTCACTCCAGGTGCAGGAGTGGCTGGAGCGAAGCCCCTGCGAGGACTGCTTGTGGATCTCAGCGTCCACTGCATGTCCTGCATTTGGATTGGCTCTATCTGGCAACCCTGAGTGGGCAGGACCAAGGGCAGGAGCCCAGCCAGGGGAGGGCCAGCCAGCATCGACTCAGAGCTGCAGTGTTAAGTGGGCAGGCGAGGAGGTTTGCCAGAGGGGCCGCTGGAGTGAAGCCCGGGGAGAGAGGTGGACACAGCCAGCCACGTGGACCTCAGGGGGTGCATCTCAGGCTGCGGCAGGGGTGGGAAGGAGAGATGCCAGTCCAGGCCAGAGTGTCCACCCCGGGCTGCCTGGTCCGGCTGCTGGTTCCAGAGGGCGAGGATTTCCCAGAAGTCCATAGCAGCCAGGTTACCCCAGAGCAATGCTGCCACCCAGCAGAAGGGCCGCCCAGCCACACTGTGAAGCTCGCTGTCCCGGTAGCTAGGCTGACACGTGAAATCAGGAGAGACTGGCACATCTGCTTTACCCCACAGAGCCAAAATGTCCGTGTTTCAGCGTATAATCCAGGCTGAACTCTAGCGAGACATTCTTTTTAGTAAGCGGTTCTTGCAAAGCCAGGGTGTCCATTTACTTGGGCCCGCTCCAGGGTTCCACGGCTCATGTGGCCTGTGGCCACTGTTCTGGACAAGCAGCTTCGGGATCCCACACTCCCTGACCTGGCCAGGCACATTCTCTCTCCTGGGTGATGAGCCTTCCACCATTTGTGACCTCATTTTATTGGGGTCCTGGTTCCTGACTGCTCACAGAGGTGAAGGGACATGTGGCCAGCAGGGGGCAGTGGTAGGTCAGTGTGAATGTCCTCCCAGGGGCCACACAAATAAGCAGTGGTCTTGGTGGCAGATGAGAGACAGGGAACTCCTGCTGTGCCAGGTCTCCATCTGGGCCGGATGGCAGTTTACATGGTCAGTCCAGAATTGCATTGTGGCTTTTTTCCCTCATCTGGGGGGCCAGGCGGTGGCACCCATTCTCTCACCAGGAATGTGGGGTGTGCCGAGCTGAAGCTGGCAGGTATGACTGCCTGTCCTGCTCAGGTAACCCTACCCAGCTTGGCTGCAGCCCAGCAGCATGGGGAGCAGGCTTCGCAGAGTCTAAAGTGTGAATGAGCTGCCCCTTGAGTCAACAGTGATCACAGTCGGACCCCCAGACGAGGCCCCACAGCTCTTGGGGGCAACCTGCATTCGTCAGGCATCCGGCAGACCCTCTGGGGGCCCTGAGGGGCCCTGCCCACCTGGGCTTTCCATCTCTTCCAGAGTTTAAGCAAGAGGCCATCAACCCCTGCCCGTGTGGAAAGGCCTCTGTCCATTGTGCTTTATTGATTTAACACGAGCATTTATTGGGAACCTACTGTACGCTGCAGATATTATGCTCGGAAGACATGCGGGGACAGGAGCGGGGGCCGGGCTGCAGGGTCCTCCCGTGAGGATGGCAGGTGACTGTGCTGACTGGCCAGCGCTTGAGGCATCCTGATGTTCAGGCCTGCAGGAGTGGCAGCCCCACCTGGGCGCTACAGCAAACAACGGATGACGATGTAGCTTCACAGCTCCTCCCACCTCTCCAATCAGTCCCCCAGCCTGTGCCAGGAGAGGTGGGGGCACTTCCAGGACTGTCTGTTCTTGGGGTGCCATAGCCATGGGCTCAACCTGTGATGTTGGACTGTCATTAAGTCCTTGGGCCTTCACGTACTCACCTGAAATGGTCCAGCAACCTCACAAACCCCATAAGCACCACAGCTGTGAGCAGCCCATGATCTGCCCAGCGGTCTGGAGGGCCCAGCAGGCCGGAGGGGCTCGGCTCTCTCAGAAGCATGTCACCCAGTGTGTACTCATTTGGAAAATCAAGGTGCTCTGTAGCTCGGAAGATGGGGCAGGGATGACCATCAGAGGTGAAACTGCAGCCGGGCACACAGTGGGTGCTCGGTAGATGTCACGCCTCTCCTTCCCTCTGTCCTTCTGAGCATTTAGACAAAAGCTCAGGGGTAAGCAGAGGTCTCAGAACCCATTAAAATACCAGCTGTCCACTAGCAGTTGTCAGGAATGTGTAAGGAAGTGCCAGAAAGGTGGGCTGGTGACTCAAGGCTTCCATCAGTGCCAGAGCATGGTGGAACAGTGCCCAGGAATCCTTCCAGAAGCTTCCAGATCAAGTCAGAGCAAGCCTGTAGCAGTGTGGCCATCCCAGCAACAGCAGGTGGGAGCCGCTGCTGGACCTCGTCCTGTGTCAGGGAGGCAGCCAGGCAGGGCAGTGCTCCTCCCTCCCTGGGTCTGATGTGGTGGGGTGCCCTGGCGAGTCGGGTTGATGAACTCACCTAGGGAGGACTCCCGAGCATCGCCTGGTACGCTTGTGGTTACGTGCGAGGTCTCGGGCAGCCATTATCACCAGCGTTTCACAACTGGGCGTGTGGGCTCTCCCAGCACACGGGCCACGGGGCTGGCGCTCCAGGCCCGTGTTGTTTCAGTTCTCTCTAGGCTTCCCGTGATGGCTCAGAGACTGGCGCAGCCGCCCAGCTAGGTCCAGTGATTTGGGGTTTCCTCTTTCTGCACCTTCCTTGGAGGCCTTTCCCCGAGTAGTGGGCAGAGCGGTGAATGAGGCATCGTCCTGAAAACACCTGTCTCGGTGCTTCCTAAGCGCCGATTCTGTCCGTGCGTGACCTTCTCTCCATCTGGGGCTCAACTCCTCTGGCCCCTGGGCTCGCTGACCTCCCAGCTGACTCATCTTCCTCCAGGACTGTGTTCCTTTAAAAAAAAAAAATCATAGGTTCTCAGATGGCTAATTACAGGCTCCAGCTTCTCCGAGGAGGGAAGCTGTCTGGGAAACTTTAAATAAAGCAACAGGGAGAACCAGTCGGGGCTGGCGGATCCGTTTTGCTGCTGTTCCGGGCCGTCCTCCCAGGAGCGAGCTGGCTCTCAGATGTGGGTGGCTTCGCAGACGTGCGTCGCTCCAGGGCTCGTGGGTGACCACAGGTTGTGAGCGGTTTCTCTTTTTCTCACCCAGAATGCTGAACCCGTTAACTTCCTCCGAGGCGAGGGGCCTGTAGTCCATGCCCAATTCACGCCTCTCATGTTCAAGAACTCACAGAGTCCGGGAGGTGGAGGGTGGGGGGAGGCGCCGGGCAACATGACGTGAAACGACCCTGCAAAATGTGGGTCTCAGGCTCGGTCGAGCTCAAAGTCAAAGCGCACCCCATCTCACAACAAATAGACCAACGTCCTTCCTCAGACAGCCGTGTTTAGGGGGGCTTGAGTGTAGAAATGCGTTGGCTTATGCCTCTGGAGGCTTAAGACTGGAAAGCGGCTTGGGGAGGGCTGTGCTCCCTCTGCCACCTCCAGGGAAGGGTCCTTCCTGCCTTTCCCAGCTCTCATGGCTCCTGGCATTCCTTGGCTTGTGGCTGCCTCTCTCCAACCTTTGTTCACCCCAGTGCTTAGCCTGCCAAGGGGATCAGATCCCTTCCCACCCTCCCTGGCTACATCAGCCCCCTGGGCCTTTTTGCTCCTGCCTCAGGGCCTTTGCATCTGCTAGTCCTCCCGCCAGAACACATGCAGAGCCCCTTTCCTCACTTCCCTCAGGAGTCTTCTCAAATGACCTCTCAGAAAAACACACCATCCCTTTTATGTTCTGAGTGTGGCCTTTCCTTTCTCTCCACTTACCCCTGTATTTTGCATGTCCCAGCTCATAGAACATCTCTTGGCACATAGTAGGTCTTCAATGAAATCTGTAGCCTGAAAGAAGGCTCCAGTGGCTCAAGTGCCGTCTTTATGGAATACCAGTGGGCCCTTAAAATAAGGATACAGTGAGCAGAGGGGCCACAGACAGGCAGGAGAGGCAAGGGCAGATGAAGAGGTCAGCTCCACTTACCCTCATGCCTAAGCTGTTCTCACATCTATTTCAGCGAGTTCTTATTTGAAGAGAGGGAAGAAAAAGCTACTGCCTGCACCTAACAGAATGCAGTCTGGACCAGCACCCCCATTTTATGCATGAGGACGCTGAGGCTCCATGGGTGAGGGACTTGCCCAAGGTCCCTGAGCCACTGAGGCAGAGCCAGACCCAGAATCAGACTCTGGCCAGGGCGTGCCTCCCATCGAGCCCGACCACAGCCCCTCCCTATGGGGCAGCCTGGGGTGACTGTTGCTCAGGGCTGGCACTGGGCTTGCATGGGCAGACTTGGGCCTCTGCACCCAGCTGCTTGCAGGGCGGATGGGCCAGGTTGGGCCAGGTTGGGAGGAGCCACCCCTGGCACAGTGTCTGTTCCAAGTTCAACACCGCAGGCCGCGGGGGCCAGCTCCGAGTCACGTGGCACACGCTCCAGGAAACAGCGCATCCTCTGCCATCCCTGGCGGCCAGTTCAGGTCTGATAGCATCTGAGGGGTCGGCACCCTCAAAGCCAGGGGCTCAGGGTAGGGGCAGCCGCCCACCCAGAGTGGCCAGAACTCTGGAGCCTTCTGGAAACACCATAGCTGGCTGCACTGTTTGCACTTGCAAACCCTGTTGCAAGGAAAAATAAATACAGAAACCTAATTAGACGGGACTTCGGGAACCTGGCCCATACTGTGACCAGCAGGCTGTTTATATTGCAGCCGGGCCAGCGGCTCACATTTATGGGGTCTGCTGGTCCTGCCCAAGCGATGGCACTCTGGGAACCTGACTCCCAGCCCCTCGAGGCCCCACGAGGGCAGGACTGTGGTCTCCACTTTACATTTGAGGACACGGGGCTCAGATGCCTGGGGGGTCCCCGGTGGGAAGGGACCACAGGGACTGGACCCGAGTTTGGTCTGAGGTGAGAGTGCACGCTTGGCCCTCCCTCTTTCCAGCCGCCTGAAATAGCTGTGGAAGGGGGAACAGACAGGGCAGCCTTGTCTGGTGCATCTGACTGAGTGTTTGTGGTTCTCTGTGGAGGCAGTGCCTAGAGGACGGCCTGAGAGCCAGTCTCAGGTAGGCCTGAAAGGCTGAGGGCCACAGGGTCTGACCAAAAATGGGGTCACATGGTGCCACAAGCATGTTTTGTGCTGCTGAGTGGGAGGAGCAAGCTGGGAGACATGTTTAGTTCAAAGGCTCACCGTTCTGGAACCTGAGGATGGTTGGAGGAGACCACGGGATAGTGGGACGCCATGCCCTGCCCACTTCTGCCACCCTTATAACAGGTGAAAGTTTAGAGGTCAAGGGGCTCTGAGCTTGTACGCGTTAAGATTCTGAGGAGGCTGTCAAGTGAACTGAATTCTGAGAGAAGGGAGATGTTTCCAGAGGCAGGGAATTCTGGAAGGGAAGGTGACAGGAGAGCCCAGTGACCGGTAGGGAAGAGAAGTGTGTGACGTGTGGCCTGTAATGGGCGGCCTCACCCTGAAAGCCTCTGTGGGTGGAACCTGCAGGCACCCCAGAGTCACCATGTCCCTCTTCCCACTTCCTGCCAGACTGAACTGGGGGCAGAGGCCTGGACCAGCTGACCACACATAGGCCATGTGTGCCTGTCACGTGCTTGTCACGTACCTGAATTATGAGGTCAAGTGGCACAGTCATCTGGCCAGAGGCTACCTAGCTTGCAAGCCCAGTAAGGGCTTGACCCCAAATCTGTCCTTAGACCAGGGGTATTTGCTGTGAAATGCCTCTGTGCCCGCTGAGACACCACTTCACCCCCTCTAGAGTGGCTAGAATCAAAAAGGTAGACAAGCGCAAGTTTTGGGGAAGACGTGGGAACCATCGTACGCCACTGCGGAAATGGCGCCATGGAAAAGAGTTTGGTGGTTCCTAAAATAGTTTAACATTGAGCCACTGACTGACCTAGGTAGCAGCCCAAGAGAATTGAAAAGACGGAATCACATGAAACCCTGTATACATATGTTCCTAGGAGTGCTATTCGCAGTAGACAAATAGTGGAAACAACCCCAAATATCGTCAGCTGATAGGTCAACCAAACGTGCTCTCTGCAACACAATGGAATATTACTTGGTCAAAAAAAGGGACAGAGTACCGATTCATGTTATAATGTGGATAAGCCTTGAAGGTTTATCATGTTTCTATGAAATATCCAGAATAGATCAATCTAGAGAGATAAAAAGCAGACTAATGGTAAGTAGGGAATGACTAATAAGGAGAATAGGGTTTAATTTGGGGTGATGGAAATATTCTGGGGTTAGACAGTGGTGATGGTTGTACTGCTCTGTGAATACATGAAACCCTACCGAGTTGTTTCCTTTAAAATGGTGCATTTTATGAATGTAAATTATATCAGGTTTTAAGCAAGTCTTGGTGGCAAGGGCCTACCTGGGGGCAGACTGTAGGCTGTATTTAGTCCGTCCCACCAGGGGGTTGTGGTCGCTCCAAGCTTTAACTCTCTCATGATCGCGGTTTTCATATCAAAAACTTGGTCCTGTGATTGGTAAAGTTTATTTAAATACTAATTTAAAAGAATAGATTTACATGAAGAATTTTACAGGGACAGAAAAATGACCTGGCAGTTTGCACAAACAGCATCCTTCCAGTAGAAATGTTTTTCTGGGGCCTCCCTGGTGGTGCAAGGGGTTAAGCACCGCACTATGAAGATATCCACAGCCACTGCAGCACAGGTTCAGTCCCCAGCCAGGGAGCTACCCACATGGCGCAGCAGACTTCTCCTGACTCGCCCGCTGCTCCCCTTGTAACAGGGTGGTCCCCAGGAAAAGGGGAGGTCAGTGGTGTATTTCGGTCAGTCTACCTGTTCTGTTCCCCACTCTGTCTCTGGTGAATCCTCTCATGCCTGCACCCCAGCTCTTGTATGCATAAATAAATAATTCTTTAAAAAAAAAAAAGAAAGAAATGTTTTTTCTGGAAATTGAGCCTTTTGGCTTTCTCAGTCACCGGGGCGGGGCAGTGAAGCCTGAGGGTTAAGGGCGGGACTCTGGAGCCATTGGAATCTCAGCCCTACCACTTCCTGGCTGTATGACTTCAAGCTAGCCACTTAACCTCTCCAGGCCTCAATTTCCTTATCTGTAAAATGAGAATAAAAGTCCTTAGGGTGGAATGAGTTGAGTACTTAGAGCAGTGCCTGGCACTAGGCAGTTTTACTGACTTAAGTTTTAGCTCCTGTTTCAGAGCCAACTGTGAGCAAGTGTTTGTGGATGACTGGTACCTGCTAAGTACTTGTGGGGAGGGGGGATTCCCACCAACCCCTGCCTGGAAACGCTTCTCCAGTCATCCACCCCAGACCCACCACCCCAGACCCAGCAGCAGAAAACAAGGAGTGTTGCTTGTGCTTACAAACCTCTGCTCTGGGTGAGGGCTGGTGGGGAACGTGGGGGAGGGCTCAGCTCTGCTCCCAGAGGCACCACAGGCACCAGCAGAGGCAGCTCCACTGGGGTGGGGGGGCACAGCGCCAAGATGGGGCTCCCAGCTCCCAGCTGGTAGCTGGCAGTTTCATCTGCATGCTGGCTCCCTATTGTGGCTTGTGCTATGTCAAGGCAGGGTGCCTGGGACAGCGCGCCCCCCCCCACCCCAATGCCCCACAGAAGCATGTGGACCTCCCTACCCAGCCTTCTGTCCTTGGTTACCATATGTCCTCGCATCTGCCAAATGTACCCCCTCAGTGCAGGTTGTCACAAGGCACCACCACCCCAAGATTCCCAGGGAAGGAGACAACCCTGGAAGGTTCTGGAAGAGTAGTGGGTGGCAAATGCTGTTGGGCACACATTTTGTTTGTGCCTTTTGTACTGCCCGTGCAAAGGATGAGGGCTGGAAGGGTCTGTTGAGGCAACTGGCCCAACCACACACTTCATCATACAGCTGGGGACACCGAGGTCCCAAGGGGACAGGGAATTCTCAAGGTGACAACTTGCCATCTCTCCAGCCTGATAGTAGTTCCTGGAGAGGAGGGGCTGAGCATCTATCACTGTGCTCCCCCCACCCTCCAGTGCCTGGCCCAGATCCCTGCCCCAGACAGCTCTCAGATCTTCAGCATTTCGCCCTTCACCTTATAGTGCCTCCTGCAGTCCGAGCTTGATAAATGCCGCCGTCTGCCCGTGCCTGCCTTAGGCCAGGTAGCTGGGTCCCGCCAGGCCTGGGCCTGGGACAGCAGAGCACCTGGAGTGGCCGGGCTCTGGTCCCGGGAGGGACAGGGGACGGATGGGCGGGCAGCCTGAGGGCCCACTTCCACCGCCCCTTCTGGAGGCGTCTGCGGCTCCAGGAAGAGCCGGCTGAGACCGATAAAGGCCCAGCGGGGGCCGGAGGGAGGCCCTTTCCCAACAAAGGAAGCCAGCGGAGGTCTTTTCTCTCCCGCCTAAATGCTCCAAATGCCTTTCAAGCTCCCCCCGCAGACTGGCGGGCTCTTCAGAGGCGAGGGGGGCTGGTTTAACTGCAGCACAAAATGGGGTGGGAGGCGCCTCCGCCTTCCTCCAGCAACCCAGAGGCAGATGCTTTTATTTAAAAGAAAACATATTTTTGAAAAAACTCATGTTCCAGAATATTCCTTCTTAGAGTGCCGACCCTTTTCTGAGCGCTACGGAGTATGCACCGGGGAGGGAATAGGAGAGAGACGTTGGGCCTATCCTGGGGTCCCCTCAGGCTCTACCCTGCCCCGTGATTTACAAACAGCCCCCCCACACTCTGGACCCTGCCACTGGCTGCCCCTTCCAGGGTCCCAACTCCCCCTGGGGCAACCGACATTCATCGGGTTGGTAGAGCTTCTCCAGACCTCCCCTGCCAGCCTCACCCCACTCCCAGCCTCAAGGTTGGAGAACAGGCCTGCCTGCAGGAGGTGGCTGGAGGCCCTCCAGGGCAGAACCTGGGAGGGTGGGTTGAGCGGCCTGGGTGCCCTGTGCCTGGACCCCCAGTGGGCAGTGCTGGCTTAACCTCGAGTGCTGCCCACTGTGCTTCCTCTTTGTGCTGGGTGGAGAAAGGCACTTCTGGAGATCTGGCCACCC